TGGTGCTACCTGAGGGGAAGAAAGCCATACAGTGCAAGTGGGTGCTAAGGATCAAGACCGATGACAAGGGACAAGTCACCATCTACAAGAGTAGGCTGGTGGCTAAGGGGTTTATGCATAAGGAGAAGCAGGACTTCAATGAGATCTTTGCTCCCACTGCCAAACCCCCTACCCTCCGTGTCTTGTTGGCAGGTGCAGCCGTTAGTGGGAAATTCATCATTCAGATGGATATATCAACGGCATTTCTCAATGGGATTTTAGAGGAGGATGTATGCATGACGCAGCCGCCTGGGTATGAGGATGGTACGGGCAGGGTGTGCAAGCAACCAGCCAAATGCTGGTTCCGCTGGTTTCCCCTGGCCCTGTAACATGCAGATACAGACAAACAACATCCAACCTTCACCTAAATTGTACCCCTATAGTGCCTGCCCTGCTACACTATAGTCAACCAAACAAAACAGTACAATTTCGAGTTGGATAGAACTGAATCTGCGCAATCAAGTAAGCCGAACCGCAAAGCTTCCATCTTGGGTTCCTTTGCGAGCTCGTCCTTTCTGCTTGTACTGTTCATAGGGCGTACAATGTTGTGCCGAAGCGCACAATGCGCGAGTACCTGCAAATGCTTCAAGCGAAAATTACGAAAGCAAACAAACACACGAACATTCCATTCACACCCAAATGCATTCGTACACGCATACTCGTACAAACAGACGGCAGGATGTCGTGCAATGTGAATTTGCACCCAACACCCTCCCCCTCAGCCTGCCGGCTGCATCCCCAACATTCCATGCTAGTTCATGCTCATTCCACTCATGCGCACACAACGCCAATGAGGCTCATCCGCAAGCCTCTTGGAGAGGAAGTCTGCTGGCTGCTGGTGAGTCTTGATGTAGATCGGATTCACCGTCCCCCTCTTCACCTCCTTACGCAGCCAGTGCCACTTGATACGCATGTGCTTGTTCAGCCCATGAAGCACAGCGTTCCTGGCCATCCCAAGAGCCCCCTTGCTATCACAAAACAGCGGCGTAGCAACCTTCTGCTCTTGGCCAATCTCCTCTAACAGCCTCCTCAACCAAATCACCTCCTTCACCCCATGGAACATCGCCATGTACTCTGATTCCACGGAAGAGAGTGCCGTCTCAGTCTGCTTCTTTGACCTCCAACTAACAGGTCCTCCCCCAACTACGCAGATGTATCCTCCCACAGATGAGGAATCCTCCTTCTCAGAGGCCCACGTAGCATCGGTAAAGCAAGTGAGAAAGAGCTTGCCTTCTCCAAGCCTCTCCCCCTTCTCTTTCAGCACCTCAACCCTTTTCTGCTTCACCTGTGCAGATGCGGAGTATTGAAATCCAATGCTTGGGTGAGAGTTCGGGCACTTCACCACACGCTCAGCTGCATCCACCTGCTCCTCTGATGGATTCTGCACCACCCTAGCCAGCTGCCCAACCGAGAAAGAGATGTCGGGCCTCGTGTGAACTGCTGCATACAAGAGGCTGCCCACCAAGGACTGAAATTGCTGGTGCTCCTCGGCTTCAACCCCTTCATCCTCTGCAGCCTTCATAAGCTTGAATTCTGATGGCAGGGGAGTTGCAACCTTGCGCTCATTCTCAATCCCATACTTCTCCCCCAACTCCTTGATGAACTTCTCCTAGTGCAGCTTCAACCACCTGTGATCTGGATCCCTCTCCACGTGCATCCCGAGGTAGTACTTTACCTCCCCAAGGTTCTTGCACTTGAAGTTCTCCATCAGCTGCTGCTGCACTTTCTGGATCTCCTTCATGCAGCTGCTAAAGAGAAGAATATCGTCCACATAGACCAGAAACAGCACCAGCTTCTCCCCCTCACCTTTCAGAAAGAGGCTCTCATTACAGCTGCTGGTCCTGAATCCCATCTCCTCTAAAACAGCTGCCAGCTTCTGGTTGGACCAACTGGCCTGTTGGTCCAATGGACTAGTTGGACCAACTGGCCGGTTTGTCTAGTGGACAGGTTGAACAAACTGGCCTATTGATCCAATGGACGAGCTGGACCAACTATCCTGTTAGCCGAATGGTCTGACCGAACCAACTAGGTTGTTGTTCCAATTGACTGGTTGGACCAACTTTGGACCAACTGGCCTATTGGTCCAATGGACCAGTAGGACCAACTGGCGTTTTGGTCCAATGGACCGGTTGGACCGATTGGCCTGTTGGTCCAATGGACCGGTTAAACCAACTTTGGACCAACTGACCTTTTGGTCCAATCGACTGATTGGACCAACTGGCCTGTTGGTCCAATGGACTGGTAGGACCAACTGGCCTATTGGTCCCTTGGACCGGTTGGACCAACTGACATATTGGTCCACTGGACCGGTTGGACCAACCGGCCTTTTGGTCCAATTGACCGGCGGACCAATTTGTCGGTTAGTCCAATGGACTGGTTCGACCAACTGGCCTGTTGGTCCAACAGACCGGTTAGACCAACTGGCATGTTGGTCCAATGGACCGTTTTGACCAACTAGCCTGCTGGTCCAATAGACCGGTTGGACCAACTGGCGTGTTGGTCCAATGGACCGGTGGGACCAACCGGCCTGTTGGTCGAATGGACCAGTTGGACCAACTGTCCTGTTGGTCCAATAGACCGGTTTGACCAACTGACCTGTTGGTCTAATGGACCAGTTGAAGTAACTGGTGTCTTGGGCCAATAGACCGGTTGGACCAATTGTCCTGTTGGTCCAATGGACCGATTGGACCAACTGGCCTGTTGGCCCAATGGACCGTTTGGACCAACTATCTTGTTGGTCCAATGGACTGGTTGGACCATCTGGGGTGTTGGTCCACTTCACCAGTTGGTCCAATGGACCGGTTGGACCAACTGACCTGTTGGTCCAATGGACCGCCTGGACCAACTAGGTTGTTGGTCCCATGGAACAGTTTGACCAACAAGTCTGTTGGTCCAATAGACCGGTTGCACCAACTGACCTGTTGATCCAATGAACCATTTTGACCAACTATCCTGATGGTCGAATGGACTAGTTGGACCAAGTAAGTTGTTGGTCCAATGGACCGGTTGGACGTACTTTTGGTCCAACCGGCCTATTGGTCCAATGGACCAGTAGGACAAACTGGCCTGTTGGTCCGATGGAACGGTTGGACCATCTCGCCCATTGGTCCATCGGACCGGTTGGACCAATTGACCTGTTGGTTCAATGCACCAGTTGAACCAACCAGCGGGTTGGTCCAATGGACCGGTTAGACCAACTGGCCGGTTGGTCCAATGAATCGGCTGGACCAACTGGCCTGTTGGACCAACTGGGCTCTTAGTCCACTTGACCAGTTGTTCCAATGGACAGGTTGGACCAATTGGACTGTTGGTCTAATAGACCAGCTGAATCAACTGGGTTGTTGGTCCACAAGCCGTTTGGTCCAATGGACCGGTTTGACCAACTGGGCTAGTGGTCCAACGGACCGGTAGGACCAACTGGAGTATTCGTCCAATGGATCGGTAGGACCACCGGTTTGTTGGTCCAATGGACCTGTTGGACTAATTGGCATGTGGGTCCATTGGATCGGTTGGACCAACTGGCCTGTTGGTCCAATGGACCAGTTGGACCAACTGGCCGGTTTGTCTAGTGGACCGGTAGTACCAACTGGCCTTTTGGTCCGATGGACCAGTTGCACCAACCGGCGTGTTGGTCCAATGGACTGGTTGGACCAAGTCGCCTGTTGGTCCAATGGACCGGTTAAACAAACTGGCCTGTTGATCCAATAGACGAATTGGACCAACTATCCTGTTAGCCGAATGGACTGATTGGACCAACTGGGTTGTTCCAATTGACTGGTTGGACCAACTTTGGACCAACTGGCCTATTGGTCCAATGGACCAGTAGGACCAACTGGCCTTTTGGTCCAATGGACCGGTTGGACCAATTGGCCTGTTGGTCCAATGGACCGGTTAAACCAAGTTTGGACCAACAATCCTGTTGGTCCAATGGACCAGTTGGACCAACTGGCCTATTGGTCGGTATAACCAACTGGGCTGTTGGTCCAATGGACTGGTTGGATCAATTGGCCTGTTGGTCCAATGGACCGGTTGGACCAACTGGCCTGTTGGTCCAATGGATTGGTTGGACCAACTGGGTTGTTGGTCTAATGGACCGGTAGTGTTACTGCATATGCACTTTATGCATATGCATTAACAGTAGAGGGCTGGTGTAGGAAGTACTATAGCGTATGACATGAAAATGCATAGGAGCGAATGGGGAATAGAGGGGGAAAGCACCGATGGGAGAAATGTGGGACCAACGAATCCCAACCCCGAGCCGCACATTTGCAATGTGCAGCTTGGGGCTGGGCTAGGTAAGGTCATGCACACTCACCCACTCGATGCTTGTTGTTTGTTATTCTCCCCAATTAGTGGAAGTTGACACCTTAGCTTCTAGCACACAGTGGCACGCCACCAGGAGGGAACCTTTGGGCTGAGGGAGCTATCTATTTCATAACAAACAACAAGCATACGCACAGAATGGACAAGTACGAGCTACGCTGGGGCAGCGTCTTTAGCCGACGAGAGGAGGAACGGCCGCGGCGTGAGCGCTCACAGGAACGCGGGCGGTCCCTGGAGCGATCACCCAAGAGGCTGGCCTTCCGCGCGGATCGGGTGCCCGTCGAGCCGACCAGACGGGAAGGAGGTCCAGCGCACGGCGAAGTAAGCGTCAAAAGGTTTGCTGCGTTCACGAGCGGCGCGCCATGGCGGAGAGACACGTTTCACCTTACCGGAGGAGAGCACCGTTATCACAGCGACAGTGGGGTGTTCCGCTCGCCGGAAGAGGGGAGGCAGCGGCGCGATGAGCGAGGTCGCTGGCGGGGACGTGAGGAGCCCCTGCGCGGTCGAGGCGAAGGCTCTGTCGTCAGCAGAGCCGAAGGAGCGCCACAGGCCGACCGGACGCGGGAGGGGACGCATGAGGACAATGCGGGGGACGAGGATGACGAGCAGGAGCCCGTCTACGAACACGCAGGCGAGAATCACCACGTCCTGGTCGGAGTCGAAGAGGAAGAATCTGCGCCGACCAACGAAACCACCGATTCGCACGAGGCGGCCGAAGAGGAAGCGGGTGAAGCGCGAGAGGAGCCACGCGAAGAAAGGCTCGACCGACGGGGAGGACGCCCATCACGCGACACGCCGCAGCAGGAGCGCCAGAGCCGGGAGGAAGACGCACATGCGGGGAGCGCGCGGAGGAAGAGAAGCTGAGCACTCGCGGACGCCAAAAGGGCAGCAGCGACGGGCGGGGCAGCAAGATGGGGAGGCGCGCTCGCCCAGCGGACCTCAGCCAAGAGCGGAGCGGCTTGATGGCAGGATGCATCCGCGGGGAGAAAGACAGGAGAGCGAGTGGCGCACGGCTGATCGACAGCAGGCGCATGGAGGAGGACGACGCGCGGAGTCCCGCTCGCCTGAGCTGTGTTGGCAGCAGGAAGGGCGACAGAGGGGAGGATCACGCTCGTCGCGCCAACAGAGGCGGTGGGACAAGAGGCCCAGTGGCGAATCACGCTTGCCCGACCGACGCCGCCACCGAGAAGGAAGGATGGACGAGGCGAGACACTCACCGTCCGGCCATCAGCAGCAGGGAAGAGGCAGGGAAGGGTGGGCACCATCGCCGACAAGGCGCCGACTACACGAGAGACGGGGAGAAGAATGGGAGAGGAGGGACCACTCACCGGCGCGGCGGTGGGAGCGGTCGGGGAAGGAAGGTGGTCAGTGGAAACAGCAAAGTGAGGCGCGTCGGGACCATCGAGAGAGCAGGACCAAGAGTGGAAGCCTGACGTACGGGGCTGAACGGGCCCGAGAAGCGAGGGAGGGCCTGGAGAGAGCTAAGCAAGGAGGGACGTATGGGAGACAGTCAAGGGGGGCGAGTGAAGCGTGGGGAGAGGGACGGGGAGGCGCGGCCATGGCGCCAAGGGTAGAGGTGCCGGCCTGGTTCTCTGGCGATCACCGGTCAGGGCCTTCACTGAAGAAATACTTTATGCAAGTAGGAAACGTGAAATACTGTTGCGACCGGAACAGCATGGACCCGGTGGACTTCTTCTTGAGCCTGCCGAACACGTTGGAAAAGGAAGCCGAAACGTTGTACCGCATGAGGATGGAAGAGTTGCTATGGAGGGCAGGGAGGTACGGGGAAGACCCCACCGAAACATTCTTAGAGCGACTGCAACGGCAGTTTCCCAGGCACACGGCTGAGCGGATAAGGGAATTCCAAGAGTTCAGAAGGGGGAGGGCTGAGTCGCTGCTGACATACTATAACCGACTGGTCAATGTGGCTGAGGATATGAGGTGCTCGGATAGTAGCCTCCTCATCAGTAAGTTCTTGGAGGGTTTGGATGAAGCGTTAGGAGGGCTGAGGATGAAGGTGTATGAGCTGGGAGCACAGGCAAGCCTGGAGGAGGTATTTGACCTAGCAGAGAGGGTGGAGCTCGCCCAGAGGAAATATGAGGCCTATCTGCCCAAGCCAGCAGAGAGAAGCCGCAGGCCAACATGGGCGGCAGCAATAATACCGGAAGGGGGAGGGAGGACAGACGGGCGAGGGGAAGCAGGACTTGACACCAGTGTTATAGTCACAATAGGCTTGAATGTGCCTAAAACGAAAGATAGAGAGCACAGACGGATTTCTGCACAGCGGCTTCAAACGTTGATAGCGTTCCTCTCACAGCTGCAAATGACCTGATTCAAATTGGATCTGGAGCGTCTTCACGTCGTCTACTTAGATTGCACGATTTGATAAAGAATTGACGACACAGCGTCGGTTTGAACGAACGGTACTATGGCAGCCACTATAGTCTTAGAACACAAGATAGGAAGAGTTACGAGTTGGGAATGACTCCCAGCTCCTACAAACCCCAAGAGCCGAGGTACAGTGATGTGGAACAGTGCCACACTGTCCCCAACCACGAAGGGTCTTGAAACTACCCTTCACTAGGGCCTACACCAAGTGAAATGTTACACTACACAAAGTAATGTAACTATCTTCAATATCTTGAGGTGTACCCTTTTGGCGAGCTTCGAAATCACTTGAGGCTTGACACCAAGGCTCGGGCTCTTCATCACAAACTCATCCTTGAGTTCTTGATGGGTCTGCTGCACACACCTGCGACATGCCGAACGTTCGACACAGGACAAAATAGAAACCGCGCACGACAAAATAGAAACCGCGCGCGAGACACAAACGACCGCGTAACACGCGTCTAGCGATAACTCGCTATTGACTCGACACACACACTCGACATCATGACTCAACATTCACACACAATTATAAGCATGAAATATACATTATCCCATGCCCTCATACCATTCCATACACAGACACATTCACGCACACGGACAACAAGCCGAGTGCAAACCGTAGGGTTGCACCAACAAACTCCCCCTCGGATTGTTGGCCTTAGGATATGTTGCTCTCTCAGTTCAGAGCCATCCCAGCCAGCTTGAAAAATTTCCAATGCTGCTGCTCCTCCAGCCTCTTGGTCATCATGTCAGCCGGCTGCCCCGTGGTCTTCACGTAGCGCAACTCAACTTCACCCGCGGTTACCATGCTCCTCGTCCAATGCCACTTCACCCTCATGTGCTTCGTGAGTCCATGCAACACAGGGTTCTTAGCAAGAGCAATGGCACCCTGGCTGTCACAGTACAGTGGGGTAGGTCCTTGCTGCTCCTCCCCCAATTCATCCAACAACCGCCGCTGCCACACAATCTCCCGTACGGCACGGAAGAGTGCCATGTACTCGGACTCCACCGAGCTCAAAGCTTGGTCAACCTGCTTCTTGCTCTCCCAAGCAGTTGGGCCTCCACCAACACAGCATATGAAGCCTCCCACACTTGTCATGTCCTCTGGTTCTGATGCATATGAAGCATCCGAGTAGGCGGTGAGGAACAAACGCCCGGGTTCAACACCATCCGCGCCCTTTTGGCGCCTTTGTGCCGCCGCCGAGTATTGCAGCCCAACGGTCGGTGTTTGGCCAAGATACTTGGCCACCCTCATTCCAGCTGCTACCTGCTCCTCATTAGGGCATTGCACAACCCTAGCCAGCTGCCCGGTAGCAAACGCGACGTCCGGTCGGGTGTTTACCGCCGCATACATGAGGCTGCCCACCAACGAGTGAAATCGGCGCCTCTCCTCTTCACCAACGCTCTCCTCCTCTGGTCCCTTCACACACTTGAACCCAGAGGGAAAGGGTGTAGCCACATGGCCTTCACTCTGCCCAAAGTTGGCAGCCAATGCCTCCAGGTACTTTCGTTGATGCACCCGCATGCACCGCTTCTCCACATCTCGTTCGATGTGGAGCCCAAGGTAGAAGCTCACGTCACCAAGGGCCTTGCACTTGAACTTGTCTTGAAGCTTCAGCATCACCTCCTTCACAAGGTCAGAAGAGGGTGAGAAAATGAGGATGTCATCCACATAAACCACCATGAAACTCCTCTGCTCCCCCTCGCCAAGCATGAACAAGGAGTGATCGGCCGTTGAGGGAGTGAAGCCGATCCCCTCCAACACTTCGCGCAACTTCATGTACCATTGCCTAGGGGCCTGCTTCAGCCCATAGAGGGCCTTCTTCAGCTTCCACACTCTACCAGGCTGCGCCATAAAAATCTCCTCCTCAAGGATGCCGTTAAGGAATGCCGTTACGATGTCCATTTGCTTTACTACCCATCCTTTGATGGCGGCTCCCGCGAATAGGGTTCGCAGCGTCGTCGGCTTCACCACAGGGGCAAACAGCTCCTTGAAGTCCACCTTCTCCTTCTGCTGGTACCCCTTGGCTACAAGCCTAGACTTGTAGCGCTCGATCTTGCCGTCGGCATCCGACTTGATTTTGAAGAGCCACTTGGACGTTATCGCCGTACGCCCCTCCGGTAGCTCCACCAATTCAAACGTGTCATTCTCCTCGATGCTCTTCAGCTCACTCTCCATGGCCTTCTTCCACTCCTCAGCATCACTACTCTCCAAAGCCTCCTTGAGAGTTGCTGGTTCTCCCGGCATCTCCACCGGAGAGAAGAACGCGAAGGCACACTCCTCGTAGTCACTCTCCTCGTCGTCTCCGACCATCATTGCCGCTCCGGCCAGGGCTGTCTTGCCCTGCTTTCCCGGCGCATCATAGGTCAGCCTATTAGGGGGTTGAACTCTCCTCTTCCCCCTTCCTTCCTCCTCAGCTGCAGGGACTTGAAGGCCTTGGCGTTGCTGCGGTGTGGCTCGAATCCGTGGAGCACTCGTAGTACGGGAAGGGAGTGACGGTGCACGCTCGCTCACTTGCTGCACCTCCTCCTCTTCTTCCTCTGCATCATTGGCCTCCTCTCCCCCATTCACAAGGGAGGATTGCCTTGTGGTTGTGCTGCCGCTGCTCAGCTCCAAAGGCAGCTCCACATGCTCCAAACCGGAACTCTTCACCTCCCCAAACCGCACGCCTATCTTCGCCTCATTCTCCGCCTTCCAATCCTTGTACATGAAGTTCTCCATGAACTTGCAGTCCCTGCTCACCAAGAACTTCTTGGTGAATGGGTCCCAAAGAAGCCATCCCTTGCTGTTTTGAGCCATGCCCAAGTGCACGGCCCACACCGCCTTGGCACCAAGCTTGTTGTGCCGAAGATGCTTAGGCACGAGCGCCATGCACATGCACCCGAACACCCGAAGCATATCCACCTTTGGCTTCCTTCCTAGCCACTCCACATAGGGCACCCATTTGTCTGCTCCCACATGAGTCAAGGCTCTGTTCTTGGCCACACACGCGCTCCGCACCGCATCAGGCCAGAAATAGTCGGGTAGCCCGGCTTCAATGAGCAACCCGCGTGCCGCCTCCGTGATTGTGCGGTTCGCTCGCTCGGCGATGCCGTTCATTGCAGGGGAGTATGGCATGGTGAGGGAGTGCCGAATACCATTCTTCTTCAGCCACAACCCAAACTCCTTGCTCAGGAACTCTCCCCCTCGATCGGTGCGGATTGACTTGACTAGACGGTCTTGTTGCCGCTCCACCATCGGGAACCAATCCGTCTTCAACGTTTCAGCCACGTCGCTCTTCTTGGCCAGCACGTACACCCAAGTCATGCGGGTGTAGACGTCGACAATGGTGAGAAAATACTCAGCTCCAGCAGCTCCAAGCTTCAGGGGGCCCACCACGTCCATCACCACCTCATCAAGCGGTGCCTTTGCCGTTGCCTCCGAACTAGGGAACGGAAACCGGGTGAACTTGGCTTGAATGCACGTCGGGCAGCCAAGCACCTCATCGGGCTCCCCCTTCACACGTATGCCAGCAACCATCTCATTCTTCACTAGCTGCTGCAAGATGGGCAGGGCCACATGCCCCATGCGCCGATGCAAGGTGAGCCAATCACACTCCCCCGTAGCCGAAGTTGGATTGGAGAATGCCGCGCTCGCAATAGCGCCCCACATACTCTCTCCGTAGTCCTCCTCCGCTGCTGCCTCTGGGTTCTCCTCACCCTTTTGCTGCTCCTTGGTTGCTGCACCACTCTCCTTAGGTTCACTGAACTTGCTGGTCCCTCCAGGTTTGCTCTTCTTGAGCTCATTCTCCTTAGCGCGACCGTTCGCGCCATCGTCGCTACCGACCGCTCCATCCTTGGTGCTGATGCTTGCTGCCACTTGCCTCTCCTTAGGCATAGGGACCACTGGGATCTGCCACATCTCGTTGTAGACATCCCTGTCCTCATGAAGGTCCCAAAGAATTCGATCGCCAAGCCTTGCGGTGTAGGTCTTGGCTCCCTTCGAGTTCGTGTCCATGCCGGCCTTTGCCAACCGCCGCACGGAAATCAGGTTTGCAGCAAGGCTGGGCACCCAAAGCACGTTCTTGAGGCCCACCATCTTCCCATCAGCACCCTTGAACATGGCCTTGCCCATGCCTTTCACCTCTGCTCGCTGCCCCAAAGCCGATGTGACATGCTTCACCGGTGACGGC